GAGGTTCGAACTCCAGCAATCTGAGGCTGAGAGCTTTGTGGAAGCAGGCACTTAAAGGCCTGAGCTAGGGCCATGCCCCGCTATGTAAATTTTTGAGTGTCTCCAGATGTCCCGAGGACCTGCAAGGTTTTTTCCCTAATCTCCACAACATCCTGTGCTTGTGATGATCAGCCTGATCCCCTGCCCAGGTAGTACTTTTGCAGGCAGCGGGCTGGGGGCTGGGAGAGTCGGTCCACTGGGAGCCTTACGGTGTTTTTTCTTTTTTTCTGAGACCAGGTCTCGCTGTGTATTTCAGGCTGCCCTTGAACTCACTGTGTAACCCAGTAAGTTCGAACTTGTGGCAATTCCCTTCTTATGTTCCCAAATGCTGGGATTACAGGCATGTGCCATCATGCGCACAGCAACGTCTTTTATTAAGAATACAGGGGCCAGAGACATGGCTCAGTGGAATAAGCGCTTAACCTGGCAAGCACAGGGGCCTGAGTTCAATCCCTGGTTCCACAAAAATTGTTTAATTTTTCATGGTTTCTCATAAAGGAGGACTCTTCTTTTATGGTCACTCTTTTTTTTTTTTTTTTTAATGTATGTGATAACAGGTCTTACTACACGGCTTAGACTCCTAGTGATCCTCCTGTTTTCAGCCTCCTCAGAGCTGGGGTTACAGGCATGTGCCGCCATGCCTGAGAGAACAGCTCAGCGTGCCAGGGGCTGGGACTGGTATGGCATGTGGTGCTAGGGATCGAACCCCAGTTCCTGCGCTTGTCTAGGCAGGGGCTTGTTCTGCTGAGCTATCTTGCTGGCCCCAAGTGATACGTTCCATCATTTTTGACTATTGCATTTCCCTTTGGGACTCTACCAGCCCAGTCACGTGATAATTAATGTTAGCTGAGTCCTAGGCCATGTTATTTGACATTGTATTACTTACATCACTAAGCTGAGTACTTATTCTGGAACCTGAGATCAGGTTTTAGAGGATGCAGGAATAGCCAGAAAGGTACAGTGACATTTGTGTGTAATGATATGCTTTTCTTGTTTTTTAATTTGTATGCCTTTTTTTTTTTTTTTAATTTCAACTCAGGTCTTTAGTTTGAAGAGACACCACTCACACACATGTTGGCATCTGATCTGCCAATGTAAAGCATTCTTACAACATAAACTGGCATTAAATTCAAAATAATTTTTATATAAGAAGAAAAGGCTGTGCTTTGCAAATTTTTGGAACATCTGTCAAAAGAAAACAAAATGACAGGAACACATACATATGCCGAAATTACTGACTGAACTGTGAACACAGAGAGGAATGAACTTTTTAAGTATGCGAATCTACTACCTTCTTCTGAATGCATGAACCATTCGTAGACTGTCTCAGATATTTAATCGGCCTTCTCAAATCTTTCCAGAGGTTATGCGTCTCATCTCTTTTTGGGTACACGTCCAACATTCACGCAAGTGCCGCCCAGCTTGTGGCTGTCCTCCACTGCGGCCCTGGCACCCAGCTCTGCTGCCCGGTGAGCGCTGGCCACCCCCGATCACCAGGTAGTCGTAGGAGGCTGCAATGCCGGGCACCGCAGCCTGCACACCATGGCACTGGAGAGGGCGCGCTGGGTGCTGGCGGGCGTGCGCGCTGTGTATGCATTTTTTTTTTTTAATTTTTTATTTATTTATTTGAGAGAGAGAGAGAGGTGTGTGTGGCCAGCTTAGCCCACCAGGGGGCGGGGCTGGCTGGCATGTGGTGCTGGGGGATTGAACCGCAGTCCCTGATGCTTTGCCAAGCTAGTTCCAAGTAGGTGCTTTAGACCACTGAGCCATCTCTCCAGCCCCTGTGTATGCATTTTTAAAGGAGAAGATGATGGAAGCTTTCATTAGTCTCATAGAAATCTGTTGTGGTTGGTTGTGCTCTGTTTTTGTTGTTTTGTTTGTGTTTTGATTCTGCTTTATCAAGAATTCCTATTCTAAAGGCTTGGTCCCCAGTATAGTGAACTTTTTAAAAAATAGTATTGAAAATTGAATCCAGAACTTCACAATAAACTGTATCTTGAGCCCATTTTATTTTTATTATTTATTCATTTTTTAGTACAGGGTCTCACTACACAGATCAGACTTGTAGTACTCCTCCTATTTTCAACCTCCCAAGCACTGTGATTACAGGCGTGTGCCACCACTCCCAGTCTTTGAGCCCTTTTTAATTTGAAATAGGGTTTCACCAAGTTGCCTGGTCTGGGTTTGAACTTCTGGTCCTCCTGCCTCCATCTCCCAGAGTGCTGGCATTACAGGCCTGTGCCACCATGCTCAGCTCACTGTTGATTTTGAGGTGGTAAAGCGTGGAGACAGAGGTGGGGCCTAGCGAAGACAGTCAGGTTACTGAGGGGCACTGCCTTTGGAAGGAGTCAGTGTGGCTCCTGTGGAACTCTGTTAGCTCCTTTGATGGTAGAGCAAGCCCAGCCCACAGCCTCACTCTGGCTTCCCGGTTTGCCATGTGTTCTCTTCACACCCACTCTTGCTTTAGGATGCCATCTGCCATGGGGCCCTCAGTGTCGAGCAGATGCTGCGTTCTTGCCCCTTCAGAAACTGTGGGCTAAGCTGTTATTTGGCAAAGCACCTGGCTTTAGGTATAGCAATGTAAAATATTTCCAGTTTTTCCTTTTCTAATTTTTTTCCTTCCCCTTCTTTCCTTTTTTTTTCTTTTTCTTTGTGTGTGTGTGTGTGTGTGTGTGTGTGGTACCAGGGATTGAACTCAGGACCCTGTGCTTGTGCTTGCCAGGCAAGCACTTATTCTACTGAGCTATCTCCCCAGCCAGCAATGGAAAATAGAATAATATATGGACATATTAAAATGAGTTTTAGCTAGGTGTGGTGGGGCATCTTTATAACCCTAGTGCTTGGGAGGCTGAGGCAGGAGAATAGCTGTGAGTTTGAGACCAGGCTGAACTGCTCAGTGAAGCTCTGTGTCAAAAAAAAAAAAAAAAAGTTATAATAAAGTGAGTTTTAAGTCAGTGCTCTCAGGTGCTCCTGTTGGCTTCTTGGCTCTTTCTCCTGCTTTACTAATTATGAGTTTAACTGTTATATTTTAATTTGTTAACTCATTAAACTTCAATTTTTGTTTTCTTTTGTGTTTTGAAACAGAGTCTTGCTGTGTTGCCCAGGCTGCCCTTGAACTCATGGCAATCCTCCTGCCTCAGCTTGCTGAGCAGTTGGGTTACAGGCTCATGCCACCATGCCCAGCATGAAGTTTAATTGATGGGTTAACTTAGTGTATTCCAGTCCTCCTTAGATGTATGGATAACATGAATTTTTACATTTCTCAAGAGTATAACTAGACTTTTTTCCCTGTGTAAAAACTGAGTGTCCTCTGTTCCTCCACGTCTAGTTAGGGAGACATCGCTCAGCAATGTGTGTCTAGTGTAATAAGTGCTGTGAATCCCTTCAGCATTCCCCTTCCCATCATCCCTCTGGAGTAGCTGTTGGGTAGTCGTTGCTGGCTGCCCTTCCAAATGCCCATCTACTTATGTGACCCGAGCCTCTCGTTAGCGTGTGTAGACTTCTCAAATCCTGGGGACCAGACCCTTAGTAGAAAAGGCAGAGTACAACCAACCATTCTAAATTGAACTTAATTTTACTATGAAATCTGCCTGCCAGCCTCCCAAAGGACATGTTTAAGTTACTGTGTATCTCTTATAGGGAATTAGTGTACAAAAGATATAGCAAATTTAGCAGCAACTTAGCTTCCCTTTTTTAAATTTTTCCTGCAGTCTCACTGTGTAGCTCAGGCTGACATTGAACTCACTATGTAGTCCAGGCTGGCTTCAAACGCTAGGAGTTCTCCTACCTCAGCCTCCAAAGTGCTGGGATTACAGGTGTGTGCCACCACACTGGGCAAGCAGTTTAGTTTTCTACAGTATAGTGAACCTCATGGAAAAATATATTTAACCTTACCATTTCTCATGGCTCTTATTATAACTCATGTTCCCTTCATAAATGAAAGTTGTGTTGCACACCAAATTGCATGTTTATATGTACTCACTTATCAAAGTTGATAAATTTGAGTACCCTCAGACAGAACCCCCCACAAAATCCCACAACCCTGTAATTCTGTGTAGTGAATAATTTATCTGTAGATCTGTAACACATCTTGACAATCTAGAATTGTAACCTTTACTAATCTCCATCAGATGACTCCTGTCGTAAGACTGATTTTATTTTATTTTTTTATTTTTTGCAGAACCAGGGATTGAACTCAGGCTCTTGCGCTTGGCAGGCAAGAGCTTATTCTACTGAGCTATCTCCCTGGCCCCATAAGACTGATTTTAAGTAGTGCATTAGTTCTCCCACAGCTGGAACACAATACCTGGACCCACAACTGAAGCTCATGGTTCTGGGGTTGCCACCTGTTGTCGGCTGGCTCCAGACAGATGATGTGGGAAGGGGGCAGTAGAGCAGAGGTGCTCACCTCCAGGCAGCCAGCAGGAGGAGGAGCTGGAGGGCGCTAAACCCTCCAAACCTCCCAGGGCAGACTCCCAGGGATGCACCTCTTCCACCAGGCCCCACTCCTAACACGTTCAGCTCTGAGGCTCCTAAAGAGTGTAGAGCCCGAGATACAGTCATCCTCCAGAAGCCCCAACCCTGAACAGGAGACGTTAGAGGGACATGCTAATCTAAACTATAAGAATTATCTTCTTGGGGCCGGGGAGATGGCTCAGTGGAATAAGCGCTTCCCTGGCAAGTGCAAGGGCCAGAGTTCCATCCCCGGTTCCACCAAAAAAAAAAAAAAGATTTATCTTCATGGTAGCTTCTGGAAATTTTACTCTTCCTGGTTTCCTGGTGTTCTTAGCTCTTGGTACAAGCTGTTTTGTCCTAAGTATGCACTAAATAGCAAAAACACACTTGCCTAGAATTTGGGGGATTCTAATCTTTTATGGAAGATCCTTATCTGGGTATGGTGGGGCATACCCAGTTACTGGGGAGGCTGAGTCAGGAGGACGGCAAGTTCAGAGCCAGCCTGAGCAACGAAGTGAGATCCTGTCTGAAGTGAGATCCTGTCTTAGAATTAAAAACAAAAGCAAAAGATGGACTGGTATGTAGCTTAGTGGTAGAGCCCTTGCCTGGCCTGTGTAAGACCCCAGGTTCAATCCCCCCATCACAAAAATCCTTTAGTTTCACTGTCTTTGCTTATGGAGAAATCACCACCCTGGAAAAGCTCAGTAATCTGTTCAATGTCATAGTCTAGAGGAGGCCAAATTTCTTCCCAATTCACCCCATCTCACAGCTCTATGACTAGGTGCCATACTAACTACATTCCTCATTGCCTTGATGCCCAAAATGATTGAAAGACAGGAAATTTTCATAAATTTAAAGGGTAGTGCAAGTAAGTAATTTTGTATTATTAATGGGAATACTGAGAATAATTTGGTAAGAAGGAATTTTGAACATTTTCCAAACTTACTATATGTACATATATACACATTATAAACATATATGCTAAATCTTATTATATTATGTAATTATTTATAAGATATAATTATATATAAGTATATGTAATAATCCATGTTATATATTATATCATAGTATATATATTTTTTATTTTAATTTTTAAAAAATGTATTTGGTACAGGGTCTCACTATAAGCACCTCAGACTCAGAGAGATTCTCCTGTTTTTCAGCCTCCCCAGCTCTGGGATTACAGGTGTGCACCACCACACCTGGACTCTGGGTCTAGCTCAGCGTGTTGGGAGTGGGCTAGCAAGTCATGTAGTGCTGGGGATCCCCCGTCCCTGCTCTTGCCTAAGCTGGCACTTAGTCTGCAAAGCTATCTCGCCAGCCCTTGTTTTTGGTTTCTTGTGACAGGGTCTTGCTAAATAATTGAGGCTGGCCCTGAATTCACTGTGTAGCCCACGCGGGCCTCAATCTCAAAACAGTTCTTCCACCTCCCAAGAACTGAGATTACAGGCAGGTGCTACTGCACCTGGCTGCAGCTTCCATTTATGTGATCAAATAAGGATTTTCACCAGACTGGACATACCATTTCTTAGATTTCATTTCTTTGTGGGGGAGGAGGGAGTTACAAAGAAGAGAATAAAATACGACATACAGCTTTTCACTAAACTAACACATTTACAACTGTTAAACCTTGGGCCAACCTATGATACCACTTTTCTGATGTTAACACCATCACATAAAATTAATGTGGTCATCTCACAAGCTAGTACTTCTCAGGTTGATTTCTGGGACTATCAGCATCCTCATGAGACTTCTTGGAAATGCAGATTCCCCTGCCTTGTCCCAGATTTGCTAAATCAGAAACCCAGAGAGAGGGCCTAATATCTTATCCCTAGTCCCTCCCTTTGATTCCATATAGGCAGAAGTCTGAGAACCACCAGTGTGGATTTTTTGGAAGAGTTACCCCTTTGGTGCAGAAACCTGTAAAAGATTGTGTGAGAGCTTTCTGGAATATAAATTTCAAATTAGCAAATGAGAGAGAAAGCAGCACACATACCTGAAATCCCAGCATTCTGGGGAGCTGAGGCAGGAGGATCCTTTGTAACTTGGTGACTTAGCAAGACTGTCTCACAATAAAAAAAGAGATTCCTCGGCACCAATGCCACACTGGCCCCGCCCCTGGGCATGCTGAGTCAGCCATTGAGACCAAGTGTGGTGGCACACACCTGTAATCCCAGTGCTGGGGAGGCTGAAAACAGAAGGATCACTACGACTTCAAGCTATGCAGTGAGATTCCATATCA